CGCATAGCTGCTGGTGTCAAAGCTGATAGCCTCATTATGACAGGTATAGCTAAGGTTAGCCTGCCAGCAGAGAGGATCAATGACCGGACCACCACCGAGGCTTTATTGACCTCCGACTATGATCCGGATTTAACACTCCGCAACAAACACACAACTGCTAGTACACCTCAACTAGATCAGTATATTTGGGTTAAATACAGGGTAAATGAGAAGAAGCTAACGGTTGCAGCACAAAGAATGAGGACCGCGGTGTGTATCCGCCATGTTGAACAGTCCCTTTAAATCCTAGCGCTCGTTCCATCTAAAGCCGAACTAACTCAGCATCCGCGCCCTCAAAAACCGAATAAAACAACTCGGCGCACTCACCGGCGGCGGCCGGACTTTGCAGATCCCCGTCCTCTCTGCGATGGGCCGGATCTTGTTGATGAAAGCATATGGATCTCGAAATTCTTCCCAGCTGGGCTCGAAGACCGGGCACTCCGGGGGAGGCTTGAACTCGTCCGGCCGAAGCAGGCTCATGGTCGTTCGGGACCCAGCGGAGTTGTGACTCAGGGGATCGGCGTGCTGCGGTCGGGCTGAAGGTGTTTTGTTTTTGTTTTTTCTTTTTTTTTTTTTTAATTTTTGTTCCGGTTATTCACCAGTCACAGTCGGCCTGCAGCGCGTCGACATCAACACGAGAGGAGGCAGATTATGCTCTCACACACATCTAACCGAAACACATACACACACATCCACGCACAGTCAAGAGAATGTTCCAAGGCAGTGAGCACGTCCGCCTAAAAAACTAGTCACCGCACGGTTCTACGTGATGCTCGGCAGATACATCACTCTCTGCAGACTTACACTGTAATAACTGCTGTATACGGGTGTTTAATTGTTTTGTATTGAACTTCCTTAAAAGATTTTTGACTTTATTCGTTTTAAATAGAAGTAATGGAAAAGAATACATCCGATTGTTTAATAGAAATGCGATGAAATTAAGGACTTTTATTAGGCTCATAATGCATTAGGCAACACCCAAAAGTGAAACAAACGATCCAGTTACAAAGTCCTAAAAAGTTACAAATAAAAATATTATTAAAAACAACGTCTGATTAAATAAGGTAATCAAATCAGTTTCGAAATAACTTTGTTAGAAGCAATGAAATTAAAGTTGCTTTAGTTTGAAACCCACCCACCCATACCAAAAGATTTCAGTTTGAACACTTCTCTTATTTCATTATTAGCATTCTTCACTAATATAAAGTGCCTTGCTCGTCCTTCTTACAATTAAAAAGAGGACAATCTTAAAAGTGTGGTGTGCATCTTTTGGGCTACTGTCCTGGACCCAAGTTAGATTGTTCGGAGTTTCTGTAAACATAGATTATTAAGTGCAGGAGGTCATGACTTTATGTAATATTCTTTCAAATATGGATATTTTCATCAACTGTAAGCATAATATCATCATAATTAAGAAAAATAAAGGTATGAAAGAAGCATCTTTATGTTTAATTAACCTATGATGCGTTTCACTTATTGAAACGAGTTACTGAAATAAATGAACTTTTCAGTAATATTCTAATTCATTAGAAATGTTACCTAATGTGTTTATCTTCACATCAGCTCTGATATGGAAACTGGTTTCCTATCCCTGTTATAAAACATTCCCAAAGCATGATGCTACCACCACCATGTTTCACTGTGGTACTCAGCTTTTCTCTCATCAGGTTAGATCACTTTCTTCCACATGCTTGTTGAGTCTTATGCATGGATTGCAGGAAACTGATTACTTTGTTAAAAAAAAGTCCAATTGTAAACATAGATGATGATAATATATATTAAATTCATTCTTTTATTCAGTAGTAGGCCCTATTTGTGAACATAAACCACATGTAAATGAGTCAGTAACAATAAAATGTTATTTTTTTATTATGAATTAGTCCAGTGGTTTTATTACTGCGTAATAAAAAATAGGTTTAATTGAAAATATGCATCATGGCTTTACTGTACTTTCACTTTTAAAACATAGACATCCTTTAAGATGTGTTCATATGACCTTAGCACTTCAGATGAATATTTTTACACATAATTTTTTTACTTGGATACAGTTTGTATGGTAGACTGTTTCTTGTGGATTCTTGATTTTCCTCATTACACGATCAGCCAACCAGGCGACGCCTTTTTATGAGTGTAAAATCTATGCAATACACCAGCTGATGTAACGACTCCCAACTTTTCCTCCACTCCGTCAATAACCTGAACCTGACAGCTGGTGGCAACACACAGTAATGGCATATCGATTCATAAAGAGAGGTAAATAAAACACATGGATTGGGATAAAAGTAATTTGAATAATAAAAAAGATGTTATATGTTTACATTCTCGCGGATGGATCTTGAGCAGGTGACACCTCAGAGGCTGGCCGGGACTCGTTGTTTAAATAGCCAACGTGGGAAGTTTGATTGGTTGTTCCTCACAAACGGTTGGGAACATCTGCCGCCGAACAGCAGAACAACCACAGACATGTTTTTCAGTTGCAAAGCAGTTGGTTGGCTTAAACACACCGTAACGTAAACAAAATATTTAATAAATATTCACAAGACTTCCTGTAATTTGACAGGACTTTCTTTTTGTGTGTGTCATTTGATTAAAAATAAAAAAGTTTATAATGCGGAGTTTAAAAGAATCACCAAACTGATTGAACATATCAAAGGAATCAGTTCAGTGAATTGGTCTCTTCCTGTCCTTTCAGACTGACTCCATTACGTTCAGGTCAGAGCTCACCATCTGCTGGTGCTCATTGTTCTACTTTTTGACAAAAACATTTACTACTTCTTCCTTTGGCTGTTCTCTTACGGAGTCGCCTCCATCTCTCCCCATCTCCAGAAAACAGCCTCTGTCACATCTGTCCTCTTTCACCACAAAAACCTTTTATTTTTTCTGCTTTTGGTGGTCTGCACAAGCACATTCCTGACTTGAAACTTTAATTTACCCTTCAAACATTATGTCTTTTTGTTGGTCATCTCCAAACCATATACAGCAACCGATCTCACCATTTTAACTAATGAACTGGACTTCTGTCAACCATCTCCATACATATTGTGATGACTTTCCAATTGGCTTCACTGTAAACTCCTTCTGTGGGAGAAAACTTGCACTTTATTTTACTGCCATCTGTGTGTCAATGTGTTCATGACTAATTGAAGTGTAAAGCACTTTGGAGTCCTCTGACTTCATAAAGCAATATAAATTCCAGCCAATAAGTCATCCAAGAGGTCAAAAGGGAACATGTAAAGCAACGCAGGTATCCCCTGAGTTGAGTGAAAATGGCCTCCATGGGAGAGTTTAAAGGCAAAAGTCATTTTGGACGAAAAAGATCACATTTTCCTAAATGCAACAAAGTGGATCTTTCTGGAAAGTGGGTTTCTTATTACGTCTGGCACAAAACTATAACAGACTTTCAGATAAATAACACCATACCAACAGGCAAATGTGATAGCAGTAATGGTTTGGGTTGCATTGCTGCTTCATAATGACTTGCTGTGATTGGATGAACCATAAACTGAGGAAATACTACAACCATGGGAAAGTATGAAGGGAAAATCTGCTGACTAAAAAGAACACGAAGGCCCATCTGAAACTCTCCAATAAAATGTCCTGCTAATTCCCAAAAGGTTTTTTTGGGAAAATGCTAAGATGACTAAAAAAACCAAAGAGGGACTTTTTGGAAAGTGTGTATTCGATTACATCTGGTATAAAACTAAGACAACATGTTAGAAAAAGAAAATTGTGCTGGCAGTAAGACAAGTAGTGTATGTTTTGAGGGTCAGGTGTAATGGGAGAAACATAAAACATAAAAAAGTAAATCCCCCAGGAGAATGGCTGGCCGTCAGTACAAGACTATAACCACAAACATACTTTGGTTATGCAGCAACACAATGATCTAAAGCCAACAAGAACCAAAATAAAAGTCCAAACTTGGAGGGTCAAGATGTGGAGTCATCTGAAACAGATTCCTCACACTCAACAACTCTCCAATCCGGCTGAAATGCAACAAATTTGTCGAAAAGGGAGGATCAAATCCTGCCTCAGAAATGTAAAAAAAGACTCATCGCCACATACTGCAAACACCTGAAAGCAGGATGGCATAACAATAGCTGGATTAGGGAGACGTTACTGCCCTTTTTTCATCGTGGTCTGTTTGAATTTAATCTTAGGCTCTATGTTATGTATGATATTTTATAATTTATTATTTTTAAAGTGTAAACTAGTAAATCACATCACATCTACAAATGTTGTGGTGTTATGTTTTTGTTTATACTTATCACTTGTCCCCATGAAAATAAACAATAAAGAAAGAAGAAAAGAAACAAGGGAAGCATTTAACACCCACAGCTAGGAAAATATGAGCAGTAAAACTTTCTTTTAACAAAAGTTTCCTCTTCTGTTAAAAGAGGAAACTGTGACATAAAACTGATCATAACAAGAAACATTCTCTTTTTAACTAATGTTTTGTGGTCTTGATTTAACAAGTTTTAAATATAGTCAAAGCCAAAACATGCTCTTCTTTAAATGAGAACGGTCATGTCTAGAATAGTGTTTTTAAAATGGTAGCCCCCAGAGGGCGCTATGGTCACGCAGAAAGCTAGAGGAAACAGAAAAATGTAATATTTTTTAATTACAAATTCTTAATAATAGAAATAGATTATAAAACATAGTCTATTTTTAAATAATTTATCTAAATGTTTGCCATTCTCATCTTTCCGATTGGCTGCCAGTTAAACCTATCAAGTTGCTTTGCTCGTCGTCAAGCTCGCAAGCGCGAAATGGAAACGTCTATCTGCAAAAACTGAAAGAACTCATGGCCAACTAAAATTAGAAGGCATGAGGCAGCATTTATGTTAAACAAATGTAATAGTTATATATATATATATATATATATATATATATATATATATATATATATATATATATATATATATATATATATATATATATGAGAAAAGTTCATATTTCTTAAAATATTTTGTAGCACTGTCTGTGGGTTTACAAAAGGGGCGACCCCCCCAGACGCTGATAGTGTTTATGGGGCTGTATTGAAAAATTTTGGAAACCCTTGATTTAGAAGAAAGAGTAAGACGTTATAAGGGGGATGTATTTTTAAATCTCCTTGTCACGAGAGATACTGCTTTTGCATTAATTTCTTAGCTGTGGCAGTTAAGCGCTTCGGTAAGAGTTTTTTCCCCTCATTAATAAATAAATTCATCATTAAAAATAACTTATTGTATTCATTTAAGTTGAATTAGTCTAAAATTAAACTTGACAATTTAAATGTGATATAAAAGCAAGAAGAAGACATTTAAAAACATAGGTGGTACATACTTTCCCCCTCAAACAACAGATTTAATACCAAAGTAATGTGTAACAGTGTTATAAGTTTTAAACTATGACGTATCTTGTGTGATTTTAGTTTACATTTTCTACAATTTCTAAAAAAGACAATAGTGGAATTAGAAGTAAATGATGAAGCTAGCGCCTTACTTAAGGAGCATCTCATTGTGTTCCTGCAAAACAAATTTAATTTCAGTTCATTTCAAAGTACAATTAAAATCTGGTTTCACTTTGTGCCTTTTCAAACAACAGGCTTGGAAAAGTAATACTTTACAAGGCTCTAATACTTTCTATTTAGCTCCAACTTGGAAAATATTTAGAAATATCTGGATATTAAACTTCTTCATCTTCAGAGTCGGAGCTCATCCGACCCAGCTCTTCGTAATCTTTTTCCAAACAGGCCAGGTCTTCTCGGGCTTCGGCAAACTCCCCCTCCTCCATGCCTTCGCCCACGTACCAGTGAACGAATGCACGCTTGGCGTACATGAGGTCGAACTTGTGGTCAAGGCGGGACCAGGCCTCAGCGATGGCGGTGGTGTTGCTCAGCATGCACACCGCCCTCTGAACACTGGCCAGGTCTCCGCCGGGCACTGCAGTCGGAGGCTGGTAATTAATGCCCACCTGTGGATGGGAAGACAACACTTACAAGAGATCTTGAGTCACTTTTCTGATAAGGAAGGACACGTGGATGGTAGGACACATTGAAGGAAGGATAAGGAAGGAACAGAGGTGGGACAAGAATGGAAGGAAGGGGAGGAATAATGGCAAGGCAGCAATGGTGGTAGGACACAACTAAGGAACAGAGGTAGGACACAAGGAAGGTAGAGTGAATAAAAGGAAGAATGACAAGGCAGCAATAGAGGAAGGACACAAAAAAGGAAGCAACAATGCGAGGAACGAATAGAAGTAGACCAGGAAGGAATGAAGGCTGGATACAAGGAAGGAATAAACGTAGGAGACAACTAAGGGATGAAGGTAGACTATCTACCTTCATTCCCTTCTTGCAACAAGGCAGATATTGTTCCTTGCAAGGAAGGAATGCAGGTAGGTCAAGGATGCAAGGACACAAGGAAGGAAGGCAGGATAGTGAAAAAAAAGAAGAATGACAAGACAGTAATAGAGGTAAGAAACGAGGAAGGAAGGACACCAGGAAGGAAGGAAAGAATGAATGAAGGAATGAATGCAGAAAGGAAGGATATAGCAAAGAGAAGGAAGAATTATACAAAGCAGCAATGAATGAAGTATGAAGGGAGCATAAAGCAAAAAATGAAGATAAGAAATGAAGGATACAAGGAAGAAAGGACATAAGAAGGAAGGACAGACAGAGACGAGACATGGAACAAAGTTGGGAAAGAAACAAATTTCCATACTTTTTGTTTTATTTCTAAGCTTAGTCCTGTGGAGCTAACCTTAAAGCCAGTGGGGCACCAGTCAACAAACTGGATGGAGCGTCTGGTCTTTATATTAGCTATGGCGGCGTTCACATCCTTCGGGACAACGTCCCCTCTGTACAGCATGCAGCATGCCATGTACTTGCCGCGACGAGGGTCACACTTCACCATCTGATTGGTTGGTTCGAAGCAGGAGCTGGTGATCTCCGCCACGGTCAGCTGCTCGTGGTAGGCCTTCTCAGCCGAGATGATGGGCGAGTAGGTAACCAGCGGGAAGTGGACGCGTGGAAACGGGACCAAGTTGGTCTGGAACTCCGTCAAGTCAACGTTGAGAGCGCCGTCGAAGCGAAGCGAGGCGGTGATTGAGGAAACGATCTGACCGATCAGCCTGTTGAGGTTGATGTAGCCGGGAGTCTCGATGTCCATATTGCGGCGGCAGATGTCGTAAATTGCCTCGTTGTCCACCATGAAGGCACAGTCAGAGTGCTCCAAGGTGGTGTGGGTGGTCAGGATGGCGTTGTAGGGCTCCACCACCGCAGTGGAAACTTGGGGCGCTGGGTAGACGGCAAACTCCAGCTTGGATTTCTTGCCGTAGTCCAGTGAGAGACGCTCCATTAGGAGTGAGGTGAAGCCGGAGCCGGTGCCCCCTCCAAAGCTGTGAAAGACGAGGAAACCCTGCAGCCCTGTGCACTGATCCGTCTGAGAAGATAAAGGCAGTAGAGGGCAAAAAGTACAGCCAATCATTCAGGAGTATCAGTAGGTAAAATAAAAGACTTGAACCTTTTCACATTTTATCTTGTTGCAAACCTCAACGTGACCTACATGCTTCCTTGAACAGGTTTGGATAGGTTTATGGGCTATAAAATACTTGTTCATTACACTGCTTGCTCTAAGTTATTGTTAGGCTGCATTCACATTGTAGTCTGAAGTGACCCAATTCCGATTTTTTGTCAAATTGGATTTTTTTGCCGTGGCCGTTCATTCTTCCAAATATATGTGACCTGTATGTGATCTCCAGTGTGACCAGGCAAACAACTTGAAAGTGTCCGGCATGCACAGTAGAGGGCGCAATAACGTCAGCCTTCTCTGTGTTTTGCCAACCCATAAAAAGAAGTGCTCAGTGTTTGGGGAAGTAAACATGGATGCTAAGAGTGGAGGACAGTTTACACATTTGAAGTTGTTGACCAACTGGAGCAGGATATTAACAACTTAATCCTCATTACAGTCTGTCATGGTTGTTTTTCTTCCCGCAGACTAGTGATGTTTGTCGAGTATCAATGATGGTCAGGTCAAATGGATGCGACCTGGACGTTAGGTCACATTTGAATTGGATTCATATGGGATACCCAAGTGGCCCGGGTCACATCCGAAAAGAATCCGACTTGTATTGTTCAGACTGTCATGAAGAGATCAGATACAGGTCGCATTACGTCAAAAAAATCGGAATTGGGTCACTTCAGGCTGGAATCTGAACGCAGCCTACGATAGTAATTATGGTTACTATCTAACCTATTTTGAACTTCTTTCAGAATGAGAATGAGCTTTTGATTCAAACTGTATTTTCCATATATCAAAAAAACAAAACAGCCACTACTCTGATCAACAAAATTCAGATTTACTCTCACATAATTATTCCTCTTTTATCCACAGTTTTCACTCCACGCTGTTGTTTCTTGCTTTTAAGCAGTTATGAGGCAAAGTGGCGGAACCTTACACTGCTGCTGTGCAAGTTAACTCAGCAGGTTGTTGCTAGGTAACCATAGAATGAATGAGTTGCTAGGCAACCTCAGAGTGAGTGAGTTAGGTTATGCCACCAAGCTTCCTTAGCCGGCTAGAGCCTTTCCTCTGCTTACATCTTCCAGAATGCTGTGCAGTCTTTGAAAGGAGTTCAGCCAATATTCTATATATTGAATATTCTATCAAAAGTATTATCTATTGATACTGATCACATGTCTATTACGAAGTATTGTCCAGCCCTACTCCCACATTTAATTACTGACCATTTTCCGGATGCGCTCCATGACTCCATCGATGATCTCCTTCCCGACGGTGTAATGTCCTCGAGCATAGTTGTTGGCCGCGTCCTCCTTTCCAGAGATCAGCTGCTCAGGATGGAAGAGCTCTCTGTACTTCCCGACCCTCACTTCGTCTGGAGAGAAAAATTTAATTCAGAACAGGCAGAATCTAAGTGGATTTCTGCTTCAGTCTTCATTTCACCTGGCTGCTTTAACCATGGGTAAATGTCTGCAAAAAAAAACTCAGAAATTTTCTACAAAAAATATGCCACAAAATCCAGTCCTTATTGTTTATTCAGATTTTATAGCAGAAACTTTTAAGCTCTCAAAATTTGTCTTTTTTCTTGACATATATAGGGTTGATGTTTTCACTTTAAAACAATGTCTTAGCAAGTATTTTTGGTCTGGTTTAATATCTTAGTACACTTTGAAATAAGACAGAACTAACTTATCTGTAACTTTTCAGCAAGATATAGGAGCTTGTTTTTAGTAAATAATTCCATAATATTGGTGAAACAGTACTAGTTTCATTGGGAGATTATCTCAATTATAAAATGTTATAAGTGAAATAATCTGCCTATAGAACTAGTACTTTTTCTATCAGGATTAAGGAATAATGTATTCCAATATCTTGCTGAAAAGTTATTTACAAGCTAGTTTTGTTTTATTCCAAGTATGCTAAGATATTTGCATTAGAAAATAGACAAAAATCACTTATTTTGTGTTTTTGCAGTGTTGTATTATAGTTTCAATCAGTCATATTCATCTAAGGATGTGTAATTTTAACTGTATCCTGTTTTGCTTGTAAAGTAACAGACTGTGGCATTTTTGTGGGTCCCCAACAGCATCTCGCTTTGGGTCCCCATAAGGCTAGAAACGGCCCTGGTGAAGATATCAAATGTGGGCTTTTTGAGCTGCTTTCCCTCAGACTGACTTTCAGCCAGCGAAATCAATTAATCAGAGAAATTTTAGATGTTTATTTTACCAAGAACATTAAATAAACATAGCAATCTCTCAAAATGTGTTGTAGCAAAGAACTAAAACTTCAGGTGAGAAGACAGAAAAGAGGAAGGGAAAGAATTTTAAAATTAAAATTACTTTAATACTTCTGTAAAGATGTGCTCACCGATCACTGTGGGCTCCAGGTCGACGAAGAGCGCTCTGGGAACGTGACGACCAAAACTCCCAGTGTTGAAGAAAGTGTTGAACGGATCTTCACGGCAATTCGGAGCTACAGGACCGTCCAGGAAAACGCCATCAGGACCGACGCCGTGCTCCAGGCAGAACAGCTCCCAGCATGCATTTCCAGTCTGAACGCCTGCCTGGCCCACATGGATGGAGATGCACTCTCTCTGTGGAGGAAAATGTAAAGAAGATTAATGTTTCCGGCAGCAAAAGACGCAGAAAAGAGACAAGTCAGTCACTTCCAACACAAACATTAAAGAATAAGGATATTAAAGGGCAACTAATAACTGCTTCATAAGATGAGTAATGTATAAAAATAAATAAAACCATATGTAGTCCTGAGGAAACAAATATACTAAATATTAAATTAAGGTAAAGAAAGGTACAATAATTAAAATGTTACAATTGTCAAAAGTATTTAATGTAATTTTTTTTTAATTTAAAGTCAATACTTATATAATTTAATGTAGATCTAATTATTACAAATTTTACTTTTATATATAAAAAAATCTATAAAAGGAAAATTGTTTTAAATGATCAGTTTCTTATTTATTTGCATTATGTGGTTGGATTTAATTAAAATAAACACGCAAAGAAAACTTAAGCAGGCATTATTGAATATTTCTAAAAAAAAAAAAAAGTCAAATGTACCAAAAATTGTACAGAAGTAAGAGTATCACTAAAATATATTAAAAAATATTTTTGCTCAAGTAAAAGTAAAAAGTAGTGGTCCAAGAAATTACTCAAGAGTAAAAAGTATTTCATAAAAAGGTCACTGATTTTATACTGCATTTAAAAATGCAGTATTCGTTTTTTAGACACAAACAAACTCTAAAATCATGTGCAAATTCTGATATTTTAAAGACAGAAATTACAAAAATATCATTTAGGCAGAAGGAAACACTTCAACTAAACTAGTACTTACAGGAGGGAGTGTGTGTATATGTATATGTACTTTTTGTGACATTATATAATACTGGATCTTCTTGACCTTCAAATACATAATAGAAAATAAAATAAGAAAAACAAAGCTCGAGTATAAACAAGAGGTCCCACTCTAACATAAACTCCAGGTGTGTTTTCTTGCATGGTGAATTTTGGTTAAAATATGTTGTTGATGAAGTTACAGTGAGTATTCAGAAACTTTATTCAAGTAAAAATAAAAAGTACTGCATTCTAAAACTCCTCCTAACTGAAATTGTTTTCAAAAAAGTTACTCAAGTAAATGCAACTGAGTAAATATAACTAGTTGCCACCTCTGATTGGCACTATATAAATAAACTGAATTGAATTAATTTTAAATGGGCCTTTTCGCTAATTTATGTAAAAGCATTTTTAAGTTATAAAAACAAATGGCATTCAGTAATTTGGATTACAGTCAAAAAAAAAAAAAGTTGAGCAGAGACTAGCTTTATTACAGCAGTCTGTTGTTTTTCCAGCAGTCGTGTTTCAACATGCTGAGAATTTGATGTCGTCTCTGCTGGAGGGAGAACATCCCATTAGATGATTTTTCACTGTTGAATGACATTTGTAAGATAAACAACCAGACTGAAAAGGATTAAAACGTAAAACTGTTTTCTCCTCAATCTTGCACATTCGCAAGTAAAGTCTAGTTTTGGCCTCATTATATTTTCAGATTGGGTAAAATATGACATATTGCAACCAGGTAATTCAGTGAAAATAAACAGCAGAATGATGCATTAAAAAAACAACTTTTTTTTCTTACCATGTTGATTGATCCAGGTGATGAAAGAAAACTATTTTGCAGACAGTGAAATTCCCCTGTAACGTCCCGGGACGCGTCTCATCCGACTTGGCGCGGCGTTGTGCATCGCTTTTTATTTTAGGCTTCAGGAGGAGGGGGCAGATGGATGGAGGGAGGGAACGACTGTAACTTTCCTTCAACATCATTCCACTTCTCACACACAAAGAAAAATACCCAGAACTTCGCTTTTGTTCGTGGAAGTGTCTGAAATCTTCATTCATTACCAAACTTTGTGTCAGAAAAGCTTGATGGATGAGAATCAGAAAAAAAAATAATTATATCTGGATTTAATGTAATAGCTTGGAGTTTTCATTAATCTGAGCAGTTATAAAGAAATACGGAGTATGTACTTATTTTTTGTACTTGTATTAAAATGGCAACAGGAAAAGAAAAAGAGTCGTAGTTCTCAAGTTGTTGAATACTTAACCAGAAAACCATTTTTATAGTTTATTGAAGACTTAGAGCTCAAAACATAAAATATGGAGTACCACAAGGCTCAGTGTTGGGACCTAAGCTTTTTAATGAGGTTCCAACTTTAATTGGAACCTAATTAGTATTGGGACATTAATGTTTTAAACTCCACATTTAAACCTAAACTTTTTAATTTATATACTGATGAGACTGATGAAGTATCAACTATGTGTTTTTATTTGCTGCAACTTATTCATTTTGCCTCTTTTGGGGTAAAACCTTAGAGAACTTCAACACTGAGAAAACTTGCCAAGTCCTTTGAAAATAAAGTCATTGAGTCTATTTTGTTGAGCTTGACTAGACAAAAGAACAAAACCGTACTTCACAGCACTATGTTTGCAGGTTAAAAATAAAAAATTAATGTGGATTCTACCAAATTAAAATGCTTGAGAACATTTCCTGACAGTCTCCTCAGAAACCCAACAATAAACACTTAACATTGTAACTTAAAACAAGAAATATGAAGGGAATTTGTGCTAGGATTGTACGGCAGTTAAAACACCGATTAACTGACTTTGTGAAATGCACTGCCTGGTATAGAGCCGATTTGAAATGTTATCTTATCTGACTCATTGCATGAATCAACAATGCAACAATTTGTCTCCCAAATCGACAATTTGTGAGAACTTTTATTTTGCTTTCCAGCCGACAGTGACATTCAGGCTTTGTGTCCTACGTGTTTGTCTAAATCTTTAAAAAATTACATGCATCTGATATGTAAGACCTTGATCTCTCAATGTCGTCGAATTGGAGAAAAAAAATATACGAATCAAGTAGCACAGTTCAGTCGTGTTCTAAACCAATATTCATTTCAAAATATAACTTGATTGAAAGAAATAAACCTTCCGTGTTAAAGCGATTTCCATCTAAAAGTCCCATTTACATTATTGCGCACTGATGAGCCTGCATATGCTGAATCAGTTCACTCCATAATAAGACAATGTAATATCAGTCGGATGGGAGGCAACGTGTTTGATGCAGGTGAAAGTTATAAGGCAAATAGCAGCAGGAGTCTTAATCTGCTCCACAGTTTTTCTTTTGATGGGTAAAAATATATTGCACTTCTGAAAAAATAATCTCACATGTGACAACAGACACCACTGTAGACTCATGCAAGTGGCGATGGGCTCCTTGAAAGTGACGCAAAGTCTCAATCTCTGTGGCGCAGTCCCAACCCTCCGCTTGCATATTCTGGCAACTTGGCATCCCTTCCTTCGTGGTTCTGTTAGTAGTGACATTTTAGAAAACGTCTAGCTGCCTGTCCTCCTGTGTTCGTCCTTCTTCTGGACCCAGGGTTACTTCTCTCGCAGAACGCAGACTCCCGCGTCGCACCGCTGGGTTGCCATGGAGGTGACGACCTCCCAGGAGTCGATAACTGGGTCGTAACATTCGATGCTGCTGAGGAGGGAGTTCCCGTCGTATCTAGGGGAGAAACAGAGGCACTGAGTCTCCACTATGCACTCATACTTTGTTTCTGCCCTGTTTTGAGTTCTATTTTTTACCCTACTTCATGTTGTGATTTCTTGATTTTAAATGTCAGGCAGTAACAGCTCTGCATGTAGTAAATGAACACACTGAAAAACGTGATTAATTACAATTTATTTAGAATTTAACAGTGAGGCAATTATTTTCTTTATTGGTCTGGATATCGTTTTTTAACTTAATGAATTAAATTCCCATTTGAAAACTGATTTTGTAGTTATATCTTTGTTACGTAATTTTAATATTTCTGTGTAAATGTGACTTATTACGCTTCCTTGAACAGGTTAAGATTGACCTATGGGCTAAAAAAACATGTTAATGCACAAAATAATTCTTAGATAATGAGATTTCATTGTCTCAGAAAAAGGTGTTTCTAAGCCGCCGGTTGCTAGGAGACGGACTGGGCTCAGGTTGGGTCGCTAGGTAACGGCGCAGCGCCTGTCCGTTGTCACTTAAGAAGAAAGAGTTTTTTGAAATGGCTCACTTTCCAGGCACCAAAAAACATTGAATTATTGCCAAACAAATGGCTGGGTGTTTTTGGAAACAGTAGAGACCCAAAAAGAAGAACAAAACTGTGTAAAATGTAGGATGTAAGATTTTTTTATTTTTAACAGTTGAAACCAGAATAAAAATACACATATAATTTTCTTCTCACTGTCTGAAGTTAAAACTTCAAACTTCTCTTGTTTTAAGCCAGTTACAATAACCAAAATTATGTCTATTTCCAAATTATAAAAAAATAAAATGTATTCATTGTCTTCAAAATCAGAAGTTTACATACATTTCCTCAGTTCTATTTGCCTGCATTGCTTTGTTTCATTAAAGACACTATCATAATTGAGAAAAAAAATAGGACACCTAAAATACATGTAAAAGTCCATAATAAATTATAGTTTAGGCTTTTTTTGTTTAATAAATCTCTAATAAAACACAGAAAGACTAAATAGTGAAGAAAACCCATTTATTGTTAAACCATTGTGAAGTTCTGCTTGGAGGAGGCGTGTTTCTTTAAGTACTGTTGACAAATGGGATGTAAAGACTTTGTTTGAGCTTCATGGCTGTGAAAGCTTATATGGTGCAAAAAATACAACATATACCACCCAGCGTGACTCTGCTCTGTGATTCTGACAAACGAATGTCAGAATAATGTGGAGATGTTAGTTGATGCTTTCAGCGTTGGCGCCTTGCAGCTGACAGCAAAATTAATGTTGGGAGTCTTTTACATCCAAGCAGGAACAAAGTCAGTCTGAGCAAAGGCTATCTGATGAAATAAACCACTGCTACAACATAATTTATATAACCTCCCCTCGCACTAGCAATAATAAAAAACACATTAGATTTACTAAAACAAAAAACATTACTAATAAGCAGTGATAGGAACAGCTAACTAAAAAGCTAGCTGCGATAACCCTAAAGCGCTAATAATAAACATGAGTTCGGATAAAGCAAACATGGGTTCGCTTTATTAGCACAGTATTCAGTGGATGCTAATGCTAAAGCGCTAACTTCAATTCAAATTGTCTTCCCTTGAAGGCAACAACCCTCTGACTTCAGGGTATTTTTTTTTTTTTACATACATGTTCTATAATGCCTAAGATATTGCACATATATATTTTGTTTCTGTACAATTCTTGTTTGAAGTAAAGTTATTGGAAAAAAAGAGAGACAAAATAATAGGAAATAGAACTGCCACGTTAGCAGTCTTCACCCGCTTCAAAATAAGAGCATGAATATAAACAGAACTACTTGAAGAATTCAGATATTGAACTTTATACAACTGATAGTAAATTAGAGCTTTAGAATGTAAACAGAAAAATTTACTTATGGGAAGCCAAGTGCCCTAGATGTTTTAAAAGTTAGCAAAAGCCCCAACTAAAAAATTAGCTAGCAGAAATGTAGCCACCACTGCTAATAAGGTGAAATTAAAAAGGAAAACTAATCCCTCCCAAGTTGGGACGTTAAGAGAGGTTAGGACGTTTAATCTCACCCGGCGATGGCGTAGAGTCGTCCTCTGAGGACAGTAGCTCCTACGTAACACCGTGGTGTCGTCATGCTAGCCACAGTGGTCCAGTAGTCTGTCCTGATGTTGTAAACCTCCACCGAGTCAAGGTGTGAAACGCCATCAAACCCTCCCACGACATAAATGTGGTCGTTAAGTAGCGCCACACCAGCCCCTGAAGACAATTTGGATGTTTCAGATGAGGAGTAAAATTCATGTTTTAATCTGTTTTCTTAACTCACCTGACCGCTTTGTGGCCATGGGTGTCACACTGGTCCAGTGACCCGTGTGTGGGTCGTATCTTTCCACTGAGTTTAGGATATTTAGGCCGTCATAACCACCTGGAAGGAGGAAAGCTGTTTAGATTAATGTGATCTGTTAACTGGTTGTATTTTTAGTAATATTTCATGTTTCTAAAGCTGTATTGTCTTTACATTTTTTCATTTTCTCATGTATTAAAATTGATTTGTTTTTTTTTGTTTTTCACTCCAGTTTTACGGCTTTGCAGCTGTTAACATTGGATTGCTGCAGAGTCAGTCAAACAACGCATGATTGTTTGTCGCTGCCTATTTGTCCAGGAGTGAATGCCGTAAGTTGATGACTTGATGCAATCTGCTGAGTTTCCTTAGATGGAAAACATTTTTAACCAATTTGAATAATAAACTCAACATGACTGTCTTTTTTTATATAAATGGGATCAGTTGATATGTGTGTATATGGTTTGGAATTTGTCTGTATGATTGGATTAAATTTACTTTTTTGCTTTGCAAAGTACCTTGAGATGACATTTGTTGTAAAGTGACGCAATATAAACAACAGAAGTCCAAAGTGTCTACAGACATAATCAGCACAGAACAGGACTGTCACTGAATGGTAAGTCAACAACAAAACACTTGTCTTTTCCAGCAGCAATTGCATACGCGCATACAGTGGTAAAACCAGCTAACCAAACATGCTGGAGTTCCGCTTCGGTTGCCAAGTAACAGGCTGGACTTGGCCGGTGTTGCTAGGTGAAGGGCAGTGCCTGCTTATTTGTGGTATTACATTTCGGAGGTTTTTTGAAATGGCTCATTTTCCAAAGACAGTCTGGGTGTTTTACATTTTTTTAAGTGCATGGGTTGTTTTTAGAAGCAGTAAAGGCCCAAATGGAGGTGCAAAAATGTTGTTCAAAATGTAAATTTTGCACAACAGATTCCGCTTTAAAAACTAAATAAAAACACAGAGAAAAAACACATTTTTCTCCATCTAAATATAGTTCAGGTTCTGAGAACTTAATCTCATTTCAAAGACAAATAATACAAGCAACTGTGTTGTAAGAATACATTTTATGAACACCATACCTAGACAGTAGATCAGCCCACTGGCCACCACCAGGCCAGCTCCTTCTCTAGCAGTCTGCATATCTCCCAGCATGCTCCACTGGTCGATATTGGGGTCGTAACGCTCCATGCTGGTGTGCCGTCGGCTGCCATCGAAGCCACCGGCAACATAGATCATATCTGTTGAAAGCCAAATAATACACCTGCTGACTAAATAAATTATTGATTTTTTTATTCCTGAAGCAGATTCTTCAAAGAATTATCTTGGTGGTAAACCACCTGAAAATATTTACCTCCCAGGGTCGTGGCCCCAGCGAGGCCACGGCGTACATTCATGGTGGCGACGGTGTACCAAACGCCGTCTTCGTCTGCAGTGTAGTCCAGGCACTCCACCGAGCTGAGCCTCGACCGGCCGTCGTAGCCTCCGATCACGTAAACTCGATCGTGTAGCGACACAGTGGCAACATAGCGCCTTTTACGGGCGATATTCTGGTTTGGATACACAAGTTATCGATTAATGAGTTGATCTAAAGTTGATTGGGTTAATCGACCAACTTACAATTAATTGATAAGTGGACATTTTCTTAAAAATGTGAGTTTTCTCTTGTCCCAAGAAGCCTGATCAAGCTTGCATAACATGAAGGGCTAAATTTTTCATAATATGCTGAATTAAAAAGAAACTCATAAAATTTAAG